GCCATATATCACAAAATGTTTTGTGATACATTATTTAGAGAATTTCTTTTTTACATTTATGAAAAATATAAGAAACTTCCTAACCCGTTTTTTTTTTACTTCTCGTCTACCACTGTCTAAATTAAGGACAACTTTGTTTTAATAATTCCAATATTATTATATTATGCAACGTGCGACATAAGTGTCTAATATTGTACCTAACGAACCGGTAACTACTTTCGCCAAATACACACAACTTTCAATTATAGTCAGTGATTCCCATCTTGGTGCCCCGTTTCAACATATCTTAATTAGCTCTCCAGTATTCACTCTAGTAAATTTCACATTATTCCCAGATGCTCTCCAAATTCGAAATACGAGAGTTCAGAGTCTAAGTCAAATATTATGAAGCTACTACTGATTCTTGCACAATTTTTGTATTCTCTCTGCAAATACCAGTGCTGTATCTTAAGGGGAATCTAACGCTTGAGTTTTGACACAAATGTAGAGAGTCCACTTATAACAGATTACAGCTTCATTGTTCAGTACTTAAAAATAATATTTTTGGGATGTCTAGAAAAACAATTCTAAACGTTTATCTTAGAAAAAAATTTTGAATTGTTTCAAGTGTTGGCAGAGTGCTTAAAATGTTGATAAATGAGGATTTGACGACCTTATTTCGTGCTTCAGAGAAAAAAATGAATAAAAAATTTGTCTAAGATAAACTTAGATTCATCCCTTAACAATATTCTTATCTAAGAAAAAAAAATAGATCTTGAAAAATAAGCTGTTAAAGCATTGAAGACCAGGCGCGGAGCGGAATACATGTCGAGGTGCGGACTGACCCGAATGTGCAGCGAGTGCGCGCCCTAATCCGTAAAGATCGGCGTCTAACAGTTCGAATGTTGGCCTCGAAACTGGGTATGAACCGTGAAATAGTCAGACAAATTTTAACCGCTGATTTGGAGATGAAAAAGTTGTTTGCGAAGATGCTTCCAAAAAACCTTTCTGAGGAGCAAAAGTGGCATTGAATGACCGTCGCGGAAGATTGTTTGAAGCAAGTGAAAAACGATCCCACGCTGCTTGATCGAGTTATTACTGGCGATGAGAGCTGGTTTTTCTAATACGACCCGAAAACCAAACGCCAACGCTCCCAATGGTTGTCTGCGCACTCTTCCCGTCCGAAAAAAGCTCGCATGAGCAAGTCGAAGGTAAAAACAATGATCATTACCTTTTTTGATAGCCGTGGAATTGTCCATAAAGAATTTGTTCCATCGGCGCAAACCGTAAATCAAGTCTACTACCGCAAAGTACTTAAAAGATTGCGAAAACGAGTCAACAGGATGCTACCAGACATCGCAAACAACTGGATCCTTCATTACGACAACACACCGTGCCATACCGCCCTCAGCGTGTCCCAATATTTGGCCTCTTAAGGGATCACCGTGTTTCCACAGCCACCTTATTTGCCTGATATGTCACCCTTTGACTTTTTCTGCTCCCTAGAGCAAAATCGATGGTCAAAGGAACCCTTTGACCGTGACGAGGGTACTCGAAGATATCCTAGTAGAAGCGTTCCAGAAATGTTACGAAACGTGGAAAACGCGCTGGAATCGTTGTATATCTGCCCAAGAGAACTACTTTAAAGGGAATGGCAGGTTTGTCTCATTACTTAATTGTCACACCTCGTATGTACCTATAGTGTGTTTTTCTCCTGGGCTCGTCTGACTATGTCTCCGAATAACACTGAAGCCTATTGGCTTATTGTATTTTACCCCATGTTAGTTCATAGCACCCACTCTGTTAGCTTTGTACCTTGTACAAGTTTGTACAGATTCCTGGGTGAGTTGGTTTTATATGTAGTTGAATTAACCTGTGGTTGTCCAAAAAGAGCCTGTCTTTTGCGATCTAGAGCTTCGCATTTGCACAGTATGTGTTTGGCCGTTTCTGGTTTCTTGTGACATAGTCGGCACATGAGTTCCCCATTGTACATGCCAATTTGGTTTAAGTGTCCCTTTACTGGAGCGTGCCCAGTCATGAACCCTGTTCACTTTCAACTGGTTTCTATTCATAAAGAGTAGTTCTCCAGTTCTTTTGGGACATGGTCTGCCTATGAAGGGTTTTCCAAGTGCCTGTTTTGGGGTGTTTCCCCAATAGTTATTATGTTGTTCTCGAATCCAGTCATTTATGAAACCCCGGACTGTACTTTTTGGTACTCCTGGGTTTGTGTCTGGTTTTGGTGTTTCTTCTAACCCTCTTTTTGCAAGTTCGTCAGCCTTTTCGTTGTCTTCGATTCCTTGGTGACCTATTACCCAAAATAGTTTTACTTTATTTCGATCTGACAGTGTTATTAGTTCTTCGATGCATTCTCATACTAGCCTCGACGTAACTTTCTGACTCGATATGGCCTTAAGTGCCGCTTGGCTTTGTGACATTATTTGAATATACTGATTTTCGACAGCTCTTTCATTGTTCGTTTTTGCACATTGCAAAATTGCGTATACCTCGGCCTGAAATACCGAGGAATATATTCCTATAGCATAGCTATGGTTAGTATCAGGGTTTTTGGAGAATTATTTGGCCCCATTGCCTTCCGCAGTCTTAGACCCGTCTGTATACCATGTTTGTTCCTGTCGTTGGGCATTGGGCTCCCTTATGGTGATCTTCGCTCTTTTCTGTGATAAAACCTGAAATAGAGTATTAAAGAGTACCTCTTGGTTATGTGGTCTGATCTCATGTCTAGCACGTCTCCTGTCACTAACCTTGAGATACTCATGTGACCTGGCTTAATGTCAAGATTTCCCATTGTATTCCCTAATCTGTAAGCATCTAATCTTGCCTCCCCTTGTATCACATGGTAAAGAGGTGGGAGTCCAATTAGTGCTTCCATTGCAGCAGTGGGGGTTGTTTTTATTGCCCCCGCTATTCCGAGGCAGGCAAGTCATTGTACCTTGCTTAGCCTTGTTATCGCTTTCCTTTGCTGTGTTTTTGACCACCACACCAAAGCTGCGTATGTTATTATTGGTCTCACCACCATGTTAAAAGCCAATATAACCTGGTCTGGTTTTAACCTCCATTTTTTCTAAAGGATCGCCTTGACATCATTAACCAGGTTTTTGCTCACCTTGTGGTTTTTTATAGATGCTGGTTCCAGGTAAGTCTCGAGTCAATCATAACCCCGAGATATTTTACCTCCCCCCTTAAGCTGGATGCTTGCACCTCTTAGGTTTAGAGGCCCTAGTCTCTCCAATTTCCTCCTGCGGGTGAATGCAATTATGTCAGATTTGTTTGAGCTGATTAGTTATTTCGCCTGTGTTCATTTTGTTGTATTTTCCCTGTGCCATGATCACTGGAGCATTGGCATATCCCAGGATTATATGTCCCTTATCTTTGAGTGCCCTAAACAGCCCGTCCACTACAAGGTTCCACAAGAGTGGAGACAGCACTTCACCCTGCGGATATCCTCTCGCTACCCGTTCCGCTATTGCCTCTCTCATAAGGGTTGTGTCTATAGTTCTCTCCCTTAACATAGAGTCGATCCAAGACACGCACGTGTCCTCGATTTCTCTGCCTCACCCTTCCTAGCTTATAATAGGCCCGAAATGGTGACCTCTCCAGGGCCCCGTACGGCTCTTCGTCAATTTAAAAGGCTAGGAGCCTCATTTTTTAATTTTCCTGCTCATTAAAAGCCAGTCCGGCGTCTTAAGTTCCGTATTCTGGAGCTGAAGAAGTCCCCTGACTTTTGTAACGTGATACTTGATATTTTATCTATTTTTTATAATGTGTTTAAGCTTTATTAATTTTGGGCATGGGTTAGGTTATTAAATAACTCGAACAACTCTGAAAAATAGGTTGGGCACCACTATATTTAAAACTTACTATACTTGACTTTAGATTAGTGATAAAAATATAGAAAATCACTAACCACTAACAAATTACATTTAAACCAAGTTTTAGATAAGGTAGTAGCAAATTCTAATTCACATAGTTTTGCCTAATTTAAATTTAGATGATTTATTTAAATGCACTTATCTTTGTTAACAGGAGGTAAAATAAGTAATGTTATTGCATGGTATTCTTCAAGCCTTCTTCAAAGAGATTCGGAATCCTTATTCGTAATACTGCGACTGGAACGATCTCTTGGCATCTGGCACTCTAACTTAACTCGAGACATGCAGATCTCTAAAGATGAACCAAACCACGGTCTTCAGATTGTACCAAACTTCTAGGTATAAAAACCATAAAACTTCTAGATACAAATTTACATAAACTGTCTAGATATAGATCCAAATAAATGTCCATAAACCGTCTAGATAAAGCCAAGCCAATGCTAAAAAGAAAAGGTTAAAATGTTAAGACAGGAAATAGGAAATTGGAACTGGATTTAGATAAAATGCGTTTAACTAATAAATGAACAATTTAAAACTATTAAGTGAATAATTTCACAGAGACTAAAATTAATATGAAAAGGAAAAATGTTATTTAATACATTTAAACATAGTAAAGCATAATATCTTATTCCAAAAAAAAATAATTTATAAATTATCCATGTGTGTTACTCATTTGTTAATAGGTATTGAGGTTATGTCGGAACTTGACAATTTATTTAAAAAATCCTTGTATAAAATATATATATTTAACAATATATTAGTATTAAAACTTACCTTATAAAATCAGACGGAATTTACGATAGATAAAAATTATTTAGTACATCGGATGACCAAGATATAATTATAAAAATTAAAATCAACTTGATTCGTTGACATCCAAAATAAAACTAAATCTCACAAGGCGAATAAAAAAAGAAGAAGACGACAAATGACATTTAAGTAGAGGTGAATGTGTCAAAATAACGAATAACGGTTCCAACCGTTACACTTTTTTAACCTTGGACTCGTCCGGGATTAAAACCAGAACCCTGGGTCTTTTCGGGAGGTCCTTAGATTCAACCATGGTCAAATCCGCGCCCTCGCAAAGATTTCCCAGAGTGTGCCGACCGTCCTTCTTAACCAGTCCGCGGTCTACTGGTTAGCGTAGGAAATCCAAATGACCTCTGCGCTAAACGATGTTCTATGAAACTGTGGTGCTCCTCCACTGCCTGAAGCGGCAGCGTAGAGCCTCTCCATAAGAGTTTCTTGTACCAAGTCTTCTTGTGCTTGGTCTAGGGTTGTATCTGGATGCCTTCTCTGGATGACAGTCAGTCGGATACCCCTTAAAGTGTCGCTGTACGAGCCAGCTGATGCCGGAGCATTTCTGGCCCGCTTAGTTCTACTTCGAGTAGGGGGAGTCTGCGACTTAGATCGGGGCCTTTTATCCCCTTTCTTCGGTTGGTTCTCTTTCCGTTGAGTTCGTTTTTGGGCTGCATTCTTGTGGAGATTTTCCTCCGTCCACGTTCCTGCAGCCATTTTCCTTTCCTTCAGAAGCTTCTTCCTCTCCGCTCCTGAAGATTTATTTCGGTCTATCAGCAGGCTTAACCTCTGCTTTTTTCCCGTTTCTTTTATTTGGGAGCCCTCATCTGTTTTTACGGATCCTCCTCCCGCTAAGCGGTTAGAGTCCTCTACTTTCACAGTTCCTCCTTTCCTTGAGTTGTCGGAGTCCAAAGCTAACGCAATCTCTCCGACAGTCATATTAAAGGAGCCTGAGTCATCTGTATCCGACTCTCCTCCTTGGGTGTCCATTTTGTCCAAATTATTTGTACTCATATCTGTTCCCACGAGTATGTACCTATAATATGCAGTGTTTAAATTTTGACGAGAAAGCAAATGTAGAGTTAACGGATATGGTAGATATGGTAGAATGTCCTTCGCATACTACTAGTCTACTTCTTATGAAATAAGTAGTTGTGATTGGCCAGTTCTGGACGGGAGGTAATGAGAGGTAATTAGTAATTATCATAAGTACCCACCCCCACCCTTCGCGCAATTAGCAAGTACCTCCCAATGAGCGTAATTGCATAGTGTAATTGCATAGTGTAATTGCATAGCGTAATTGCATAGTGTAATTGCATAGTGTAATAAGTGTAGTTACTTCATACGCATATAGATATAAGTATTTACTATGTATATCGAGTAGCGTGTAACGAGCATAGTAAGTACCTCTTAGATAGTAATTGCTATGTATATCATGTAGTGTAATGGGTTCAGTTCAAGTACATATGAGTGATTACTATTGTAGCACAAGGGAAATACGTCGGAGCATACCGAAACACATCCTTGACTCTCAACCGTCATAGCTAGAGTGAAGCGCAAGTCTCCAGCAGACACGCACGACGTAAACATCGGTCGAAGGGATAGTACCATATTCTTAACACAATTTGCGAGCGCCTCTCAGACTTGTATATTATGAATAGGGGAGGGGAGCATAAGAGAGGTGGAGATTTTAGAGAGGATATATAGTAGCACCCATATTCAAATGAAATCAGTACAAAACTCGTGAGCTTTAAGCGCGTTGTAAGTTCCATTATCTAATATCAAAATTATCATAAAAATAATAGACATGTATAAGTGTAATTGTGGTTTAACATTTACAAGGATAGATAATTTACATCGACATCAAAATAAAAGTTGTAAGCTAATATCTAATCGCACCGGTGAATCATCGCGTGGTACGAATAGATCTACCAATTCCAGCCCTGATGTTTTACCAGTAAAAAAAGCGCGTAATGGGAGATGTGAATCATGTAATGTAGACATCCCTACCAATCAGATGTCATCGCATATGAAGAGCCTTGACCATAAAGAAAAAGCCTGCTCAATTCATGCCGATGGTATATATTTAATTCAGAGTGCGTTTAAGTGCAGAATTGCAAGTTACAGAGTCAAAAGTGATAAAAAACATATAGATTATGTAACATTTTTTGATGCGGTAAAATGTAGAGTATTGGAATTGTTAAAAGTTGTTTTGAGGGTCCATAATGCCATTAAAGTTAATGTAGAGGTCTTCGCTACATATGTATTGCAGAGTCAAGATATTTCTGAAATCAAATCTTTTAATAGCATAAATCGAATACTAGATTTGTCGGCGGATTTGGATGCGACATATGTGGACTTTAAAGATGCGGCGGTATCTCAAACTGTAGACTTTCAACATAAGGATTCAGGTATTGTAGTTTTTATAGTGTATAATAGGGCGTTAACTAATAAATTATTCGTTGTTTCAGGCTGGTCGTTACTGGAAGTACTATTTTTAGAAGTAAATATAAATAAGTACTCTCCATTAGGCGGCTGCTCGCACATAAAGCTACCCAAGTTTATTGAAACCAAGAAGGGCGTAGTTAATGTGCAAAATAATGATGCGTACTGCTTTGCTTGGGCCATCACATCGGCACTATATCCAGCGAGAGAGCATGTTAGCGAAACGTCGTCGTATCCACACTTCGAGACCGTGCTGAATGTTGAGGGTATTGAATTTCCCATGAAGCTTAAAGACATTTCAAAATTTGAAGACCTAAATGATATAAGTGTTAATGTTTATGGTTTGGAACGTAGTTATGAAAACGGTAAGGCGAAATTTGAAATAGTAGGCCCATTACGATATTCCCGCAGAAGGTTAGGTCATCATATAAATTTACTACTAATAACGGCTGATTCGGGTAATAGTCACTACTGTTGGATTAAAAGTCTTTCTAGATTAGTGTCGAGTCAAATAACTAGAAATGGCCATAAAAATTTTTTTTTGTGATGGATGTTTACTTTATTTTCGATCTGAAAGCATCCTATTGCGGCACCAATTGAGCGACTGTAATCATATATATACCTGCACGCCATCAGTAGAGCTAAAAAAAGACAAACGCGGTTATTATGTACCTGAAAATATACTCAAGTTTCAAAATTATGATAAGCAGCTAAGGGTTCCATTTGTAATTTATGCTGATTTTGAATCGATCTTAAAACCTATAGATATTTGCGAACCAGATCCGGAAAAAAAATTTACTATCCCTACATACCGACATGAGCCATATTCTTTTGCATATTTAATTAAATGTTCATTTGATAATTCATTGACGAAATTTGTAACTTTTACTGGTGACAATGCCGGTAGCGATTTCGTGAAACGGCTAGAAGACGATGTTCTAACTATTTATAATACGTATTTAAAAGATGTTGTTCCTATGCACCAATTGTCTAATGATGAAATAGATGATTTTAATACATCGAGTATATGCTCTATTTGTGATGAGGCCTTTCAGGATGGTGATGTTAAAGTAAGAGATCATTGCCATATTACCGGTAAGAAAACCCCTGGCGCCGCACACAGTAATTGTAATTTAAATTATAAAATCCCGCAATTTGTTCCAATATTTTTTCATAATTTGAGTGGGTACGATAGTCATTTATTTATTAAAGAATTGTATGGTGAAGGCGAGAGAGCCGAAGTTATTGCTCAAAATAAAGAAAAATATATTTCATTTACTAAACCGTTGTACACCCATAGCTATGTAGATAGAGACGGTATGATGAGAAAAAATTACATAAAACTTAGATTTTTAGATAGTTACAGATTTTTAGCTGATTCCTTGGTTGGGTTATCAGAAAATTTACCATCAGAATTTTTCGTAGAAACAAGGAAATGTTTTGCAGAAAAAGAAAAATTCGATTTATTGAGGCAGAAAGGGGTGTTTCCATATAATTTCATGGATAATTTAATGAAATTAGATCACCCCAATTTACCTTCAAAAGAGGATTTTTATGACAAGCTAAATGATCGCCATATATCCGATGAGGATTATGCGAGGGCTCAGAAAGTTTGGAATGTATTTAAATGTCAAACTTTGGGATCCTATTCTGATTTATATTTAAAATCAGATGTTTTAATGTTATGCGATATATTTGAAAATTTTAAGGATGTATCACTTAGGGCATATAAACTAGATCCAGCGCAATATTATACATCTCCAGGTTTGTCATGGGATGCGATGTTGCGCTACACCAGGGTAGAGTTGGAATTGCTAACGGATATAGATATGATTAATTTCTTCAAAAATAGTATACGTGGCGGTATCAGCCAATGTGTGGAAAGAAAACATATTGCCAATAATCCATTTTTATCCGAATATAATCCTTTCGAGCCGAAGTCTTCTATACATTATATTGATGCGACAAATCTCTATGGGTATAGCATGAGTCAGCCCCTACCGACAGGAGAATTTGCTTGGTTATCGACTGAGGAAATTAATCAGCTCGACGTTATGTCAGTTGATGATCTCGGGGAATATGGTTATGTATTAGAAGTTGATGTAACATATCCACATCCTCTCCATGATAAACATGCCGATTTACCATTTTTAGTGGAGAATATAATTCCACCCCATTCAAAAACAGAAATACCCAAACTGGTTCCCAATTTGAATCATAAAGACAAATACATATTACACTATAGAAACTTTAAGCAAGCCATAAATAATGGGCTAATTGTAACTAAAATTCATCGAGCTCTCAAATTTAAGCAATCTCGCTGGCTGAAAAAATATATAGATCTCAATACAAATATGAGAAACAGCGCTAAGGACACATCAGAGAAAAATCATTTTAAGCGTATGGTTAATAGCGTGTACGGGAAAACTATGGAAAATGTGGATGACAGATGCGACATTTACCTTAAAACTCACTGGGCTAGTAAGAGAAATTCCCCGGGGGCAAACAACTTAATTGCTAGACCAAATTTTAAGTCTTGTTCCATATTTTCACAACACTTTGTGGCTATACATATGGGTAGAACTAAAATATGTTATAACAAACCGCTGTACGTAGGTTTCACAGTGTTGGAATTGTCAAAAGTAAGGATGTATGATTTCTATTACGGCACATTAAAACAACAATTAGGTGATAAAATTTCCTTACTTTATACAGATACCGATAGTTTTGTGCTTAAAGTTAATTCAATAAATTTTTATGAATTTATGGAAAGAAATATTGAACATTTCGACACATCTAATTATAAATCTGATAATAAATTTAACTTACCAGTAACTAAACCAATATTGGGAAATTTTAAAGATGAGTATCCAAATCAGGCTATCAGTATATTTTTAGGGACAGGCGCCAAGGCCTATTATATTAGATCGGATGAGAAAGAAACCAAAACGCTAAGGGCGTAAAAAAATGCGTAATACAAAACAGCTTAAACATGACGGACTACCAAAAAATTGTAGAAGGTGGGGGTAAGATATTTAGAAAAATGAATACATTCAGGAGTAAGTTACACGATATATATACTGAAATGAAAAACAAAGTTGCATTATCTTACAACGATGAGAAAAGGTTTATAATACCAAATACCGTAAAAACTCTACCGTGGGGTCACAGAGACATTCAGGAATATCGTAATGGGCCTCGAAAAACTATAGCCGAATTACGGTATAACGTAGCCAATATTGTAAATAATAGTAGCGATGAAAATAGATTAGATTTACTGTTAAGGCTATTATTAGAAGAAATGTAAATTGAAAGTTTGTAATATATATGTAACAAAAAAAAAAGTTTATTTTTATAAAATTTCCAACTATCTCCCCCTCCACTCCATACTCATTCCTAACACAATAAATAGTAGGTGCTCATGGTCAGATATTCATTCTGCTTCATCCAGCCCAACTATAAAAGCCGTAAAAATGTCTATCAACATAGCAACCATAATCGCCAGAGAACAAGTCATTATTGACCATGCGACGCTGAATAAAACC